ACCGTTTGAAAGTTCAAAATGGTACGACCTTGCACTGTATGAACTTCTGATACGAATTATATCGAAAAAATTTGATTATTTATGAAGAAAAAACGTATACATAAACTGTGGAGCAGATGCATTATTACATTCAGCAAATTGTAACATCACTTTTCTTCAATAGTTGGAAAACTAGTCAAAAATATGCTCAGAAATTATTAGCTAATCAAGCACTAATAAAAAATAATAGAAATGATGATATATTAGAAAGAAATAGATTATTGAAGATATTTTAAGACAATACCGTTTTAGAATACATCCAATGGCCCATTTCGTCTTACTTAATATATTGTCTAGGGTCCATTATAGTATTTGATTAGCTGACTATTTTGAGCATGCTTTCGACTTCTAGTTTTCTACTTCTATGCATACACACACGCACGCGCGCGCGCGCACGCTCGCACACACACACTTTTTGTATGTATCTCTATAGTATATATTTTTTAAATTTTTATAAACTTTCTTGCAAATATGGTGTATACTGAACTTTATTGCAAATATAATGTTACAGAACAGAATGTAAATAATATCTTAAAATGCTAAAATAGTTAATTATGACATCTTAAGACTGTACATAAGACGGTCCTTCAAATATTATATAAAAATTGAATATGAAAAAACTGGTGTTAATCTAACCAGTCTTAATCTATCTGAATTTCTCTTGAAAATATTAGTAGATTATACATCGACAAAGGGATTTTTTATATTTTTGATGAATTTTACGCGTAAATTTTCAATCCTTTTCACAGCATCGGTATTATATTTTACTAAGCCGCTTTAAATGATAATAAATCAGACAGATATCCAAATTCTGCTTGTCTTGTTATATTTACCGAACAACAAAACGAATTTGTATTGGGATTTTACAGAGAGATTTTCTAGTAATAAAATAATATTCGGCATGTTGCTCCTGGTTTATTCGTGTAGATATAAACAACAAACAACGGTTGCAAGTGTAATATAAATCATGCTGAATAAAGTACCGTTAGCATTTATCAAAGGCTAATATTTATTGAAAGATCACTCTCACGTTGCTGTTGTAGCCACCACAAAATCAAACGTTGTCACGAAACATGTCATACGATTGTACATGCTACTATTTTGTATTTTATAAACGGCGGACAAGATAACACATTATAAATAACTATTATTATATAGTATTATTGTATATATATATATAGTATTACACAGTAAATGTAATATAATATTAAGTGTATAATATGTATATATAGTAATATAACACACACACACATATATATATATATTATATATATAAGTATATATACAACACACACACGCGCGCGTTAAACATGAGCATGTATGAGTATAATTAGGATTTCTCACTCTTTAAATATAAATATTTTAGTATTTATTCTAAGGCAATTCTTTCACAAAAATTATTTCCATCGCTTCTACTAATTAGAAGGAAAAAAGTCGCACTTTCAATTAACTCGTACAATATTCTAACAAAAATAAATATACTTGAAAATCAATATACTTTATTAAAAATAAAGATCTGAAACTGAAATTAATATTGTGTTAATTATGAAAGAGAATTAATTGTTAAATAATTTGATTACAGAGAAAACTTAATTAAGAATTGAATCCTTATTATTTCAGCAAATATATCCTATTATGTAACAAATAAAAAAATTTCTTAAAATTATCGTATAAAGATATTTTATAGCCACGCAATCCGTCATGTTTACTATCATTTAATCGTTAATAATCATCGATACTAACACCTGTTACAAAACATACTTCCTCCTTAAAACATCTACTTTCCGTTCATCAGTTTCGCATAAAACTATCTTAAATTCCAGAACAAACTTTATAAGTGACTTATACATGCTGCATAGATATCTGAAACTTCGTGTTACTGGACAGTTATCCGTGAACATAACGTAGGCAGGAGTTTACTAAACCAAATCTGCTGTGGTAAGCACAACGAAGGCCAAACTGGGCATAGTGATGCGAATCGCATCGACGCGCGATCCTGCCAGCATCTCAGAATGCATACTGGGCGCATAGACTATTAACTGCTCTGGAATATTCATCCAGATCCTGGCGTCTACGGTGACTGGCGTGTCTACAAAGTTGACTATAAGCGCCATGACAGATGCATCGTTTGTCGCCATACTCCACTCCTGAAACATTCTCGGTGATAGAACAATCGAAACAGTACAACGCAGTCTCCAGAGAACCCCGCTTGAAGAGCTTTCTTTTCAAACGCGACAAAGATTTGAATATATTATAGTGGGACACGACCGCGACTTTTTGTGCCACTAAATTCAGAGTCCTATAATTGCTATTTACCACGTCACATTGCTGATATAAAGAAGCCCGCACTGATGCTGTCGTTCCTTTGAAAACGTTCTCTCCGGATCAATTTTAGATAATATTTGTAAGTGCGTGAAAATCGAAATCCATTTGATAATATAACGCTTACCATATAGAATATCTAATGCTCATCCCCACGGCATATTGGCTTTTTCTTTCTTTTTTTATAAAAAAAAGAAGCCTTTTTTAATTGTGAAGATAAATTATGGTTACTAATTTAAAGATAAATAATTGCGCGTTATACAAAGTTCTGGAAGTAAAATTTAATACTTTTAATAAAAATATAACAAAAATTTTAATTGAATAATATTTTTCAAATTAAATTAAGAATTTTAAGAAATGATTACGTTAAATATATTTTATTAATTAAATAGCACTTTTTATTTGATATAATGATATTACAAATATCTGATACATTTGGAAATAAAATAGTGTATTTATGGATATCAAATCTGTTTAGACACACGACTTTGTCCAGGTTTATCTTCACTCGTGACACGTGTCAGGTCCAACAATACATCCGATAGGGTCCTTGGTTTCTGCGTACGTAAAATTCCTATCGACCATACCGATCTCGTTGCCGTTGTAAATCACGCTTACGCCGAGTAAAACCGTCGCCAACACGGAAACCTGATCGGTCCGTTTCTCGCCCAATCTGGAAGCCGCTCGATGATTGTCATGATTGTCCACCACCCAATTCGCGACGTACGGTGAATCGTTAGGTATATTGTTCTTGTTGTATATTATTCATCCATCGATTGATGAGACATTTGAAGTCAGCCGCGCTAGACTTATTGTTCAAATAAAAAATGAATGTAAAATTAAACATGTTCGGGCTTGATTTGTATACAACGCAAAGTTTTATGTCGATCTCGGTCATCATTTATTATAAATCATTTTTGCATTAACCGTTGAGTGATTATCCAGTACTCCAGGACTTCATAAGGCTCGAGAAAATTTCCCGTGTAAATATGATCCAGTTTTGTGATCATCATCCAGCATTGCCGGTATGTTTTTTCGAGGCTTGTCTAGATAACATGCATTCTCAAACAAATGGCTGATAGCATCAGTGCGAAAACTCCGATCCAGCCCGAAACTCAGTTTTTTATTTCACGTTGCAATGCAACGCTACGATAGTTGAGATCCGCCTGAGCAACGTTGAACTGATGGAGATAGTATTGTTACTGTGCCGAGTTCCATTCCCAGGCGAAGCATCGGACGACACTCAACCAGTTGTTCGGTGGCTTCCTAGTGTCGTTCACTATTCGTGAGTCACGCCAGACTCGTCGTAGGACTTGATCTGTTGAACGCTTTTTCCTAACTATTCGTGCTCGTAAGAGCTGTAGTTTGGCGAAATTGAGAATTACTTTCAACCCGAGGGACTTCACCTTCTCCTTGAATTTGTCAAAGTCAGCTAAAGTACCATAATCCTTGTCGACGTCGGTATAATTAGTAACGTCGTAGCTAAATTCAAACTGCAAGCTGGTATAAATCGGTGACAGCCATAGCGCATCAGCCCAATGTCCGTGATATGCTCCAATCTATTCGTGATACTATTCAAATCTCCTATACTATCTCCATCACTATCCTCGAAACTTCTCGAATAGACTAGATATACCAAATTGTTCTTGAACCAATTCTTGTCCGCTCTTTCGATCGACGCGGAAGTTATTAGAACAATCAACGTTACAATGAAAATACATAGGCGAAACATAATAAATGACTAATTCGATTGTTGATTCTGATGCGATTTTATGCTGTATACGCGACGACTTTTTTAAAAAGTTATAACAATGAATACATTGTTGGAATTATTATTTTTATTTGATAACCTTGTGTAACTGCAAATAATTGCATCGTAGAATTACTGATACCGACAATTTACATTTTTTTACGATAATATCAAGCTAATCTGGTATCAGATAGCTTCTCTCTTTTATCACTGTTTTTATAATATCAAAGAAGCATCGTAATCATAATAAAAATATTTATTATGTCTAATAAAAATTTATAATTTATAATATAAATAGATGTATTGTTAAAACTTGTGATATAAATATAAAGAATAAGAATATACATTACAATTATAAATTGGGCCATTTTGGATTTTATTTCGCAAAAATGCAATTTGGTAAAAATAAAATGTGAAACATTTTATATGAATAAATTAATTTATACAAATCCATAATATGAAAAAGTTATATGCTTTAATACTAAAAAAAGAGAATAATGTGCTTTAATATTACGTAGAAAGAATAATTAAAATATTTTGCGCTTTTGACATACCGTAAGTTGATAGTTATTTTTATTTAAGTCCATCATGGCAAGTAATTAAACAAATGTGCTTTATTAAGAAAAATTGGAAGTCAGAAAATTAAATTAATATTGAAGTAGCGACAAAGGAAAAGTAATTATTAAGACAACGAGGCTGAGTTTAAAAGCCAATATAAATATTGTTTTTGCATTGATTTATACTATTTTATATACTGGAGGACAATAAAAAAATTATTCTTAATTTGATTAAAATAAAATTTATTCGGTTGAACGAAAATGTGCATTTTGTAGATACATAGATGAGCACTAATTACTAATTGATAAATGCTGTTGCGATAATTTTTTTGCATTTAATAGTAACACGATATCTAATGGCAACAAGTTTATTTTTAATCGCTATTGTCACAAAATACATTTCCTTCGAAAATTTATTCTCGTATTTACACAAGACACAATCTGCCTGCAGAAAAAATACTTATGCTTAATGTATCCAAAAATTTGCTTTACTTAAGAGTTTTTTTCATTAACACGAGATAAATAAAAATTTAATCGATCAAATCTGCTGTGACAAGCACAACAGAAACCGAACCAGACAGACTGAAGGTAGCCATATTAACAGGCGATCTTAGAAGTAGATTGGAACCCTCACTGGATGCGTACACCATCAACTGCTCCGAAATATTTAACCAGGTTGAAATATTAACGATGACCGTCTCCGTATCGCAGAAGTTCACTATGAGGACTACGATGGATGTTTCGTTTCGTCGTATCACCCCTAGAACATTTTCGGCGACAGAACAATTGTAACAGTATAACGCAGTCTCCAAAGTGCCCTGCTCGATAACGGACTTCTTTTTCAGTTGTGTTAAGCGCTTAAACACGTTATAATGAGAGTAGAGCTCGGGTTTTTGCGCCTTTAAATTCAAGGATTTATAATTCTCGTTCACCGGAAGCCACGTTGATTCGTTGATAGAGAAACCGGCGCTGGTGCTATCATCCCACTGGAAAGGTGTTCTTTCTGGATCTCGCGATTTTAGATAATATCTGAAAACGCGATAATATGTATTATTAATCAATAAAAGTATACATCTTGAATATAATTAAAGTAATTCATATTAAGTAATACAGTTCTTTCGAAATCCAGATTTATTATAACAAAATCTAAAAGATAGCACGATTATACATATATGTATAATAATAATAATTTAATTTAATCATTTTTTGTCGAAATAGATAATCAGTTCATAATTTTATATCAGGTTCTACAATAGAATGGCCATTCTAGAGTTTTCCAAAAATTCTAAAGAAAAAAATTTGCAGGTAAGCAGCTATGTTACGACACCGTTTGTGCGAGTCAGAAATTTGACGGTCGGTCAAGTCTACGAATTCCGGGTGATGGCGGAGAATCAGTATGATACGTCGGATCCAGCGACGACAATCGATCCCATTAAGGCGCGACATCCGTTCGATCCTCCGGGATCTCCGCCATCACCCGGAATTCGTAGACTTGACCGACCGTCAAATTTCTGACTCGCACAAACGGTGTCGTAACATAGCTGCTTACCTGCAAATTTTTTTCTTTAGAATTTTTGGAAAACTCTAGAATGGCCATTCTATTGTAGAACCTGATATAAAATTATGAACTGATTATCTATTTCGACAAAAAATGATTAAATTAAATTATTATTATTATACATATATGTATAATCGTGCTATCTTTTAGATTTTGTTATAATAAATCTGGATTTCGAAAGAACTGTATTACTTAATATGAACTACTTTAATTATATTCAAGATGTATATTTTTATTTCAAGTAAAAGCCACTTTAAGATAAATGATTTGTATTAAATTAATTATTAGTAAACAAAGTCATATAAATCCTCGTAATAATAATCTAAATATCTGTACGTCTAATGTGATATATACATATATATGTATATATATATATATACACATATATATAAATATATAATTTTTACGATAATATTTTTTACATAATTTTATTAATCAAAACATTTCTATATTCCAAACAATATAAAATATAAAAATCAAAGATTAAAAATATAATAGATTTCATTTAAATCTATTATATATTACGTCGTAATGATACGATTCTATTTAAATTTATTGTTTTATTGTGGCAATACCTGTCCTCTCCAGCACCGCATCCGGCAGGATCCACAGTTTCGGCGTATGTAAAATTTCTATCGAGCATACCGATCTCGTCGCCATTGTAAATCACGCTTACACCGGGCAAAACAGTTGCCAACATGGAAAGTTGATCGGCCCGTTTCTCACCGAATCTGGTAGCCGCGCGATGATTATCGTGATTTCCCGTCACCCAATTCGCAACATATTCCGTACCTTTAGGCATGTTGTTTATCCAACGATCAATATTATGTTTGAAATCGGCCGCGCTGGACTTGTTATTTAGATCACTAATGAACACGAAGTTGAACGGCACCGTTGAACCAGACTGATAGTACTTTATAGTGAGATCGAAGTCTGCATAGGCCTCGGTCAGGATCATCTTCGTGTCACCCGTCGAGTGACTGTCCATCAACTCCCTCCAAGTCTTGAGAACCTCGTAAGTTTCGGGAAGATTTTTTGTGTAAATGTGATTCAAGTAGTCGTAATCATCGCTTGGTACGTCTAAGTTACTTAACGGTTCATCCAAGAATTGATCATTCTCATACATATGATTGATCGCATCAATGCGAAAACCTTTTACGCCCAGATCCATCCAGAATACCAACACTTTTTTCATTTCTTCTCGCAGCTTACTATTACGATAATTGAGATCTGGCTGTCCAGCAGCGAACTGATGCAGATAATACTGCCCTCGTATTTCGTTCCATTCCCAGGCAGAGCCTCCAAAATTACTCAACCAGTTGTTCGGTGGTTTAGCAACATTATTTTCATATGTTGCGTTACGCCATACATAGTATTCGTCGTAGGGTTCAATACGGTGGACACTTTTGATAAACCATTCATGTTGATTAGAGCTGTGATTCGGCACGAAATCAAGGATTACTTTCAGCCCAAGGGATTGTGCCTTCTGTACGAGTTTTTTAAAATCATCTAAGGTGCCGTACTCTGGATTGATATTGGTAAAATTAGAAACATCATAGCCGAAATCTTTCTGTGGACTGGAAAAGATCGGTGACATCCATAACGCATCGGCGCCAATGTCCTTAATGTGCTCCAACTCATTCGTGATACCGTTCAAATCGCCAATGCCATCGCCATTACTGTCCTTGAAGCTTCTCGGATAGATCTGATACACCAAACTGTTCTTATACCAATCCTTATCCGCTTCCTGGACCGCATTCGAGCCGGCCAGAACGATCAACGCCGCGATGAAAATACACGAACGAATCATAGTGACTGATTATTTTGATTGCTTACTCCAGTTGCTTTTATATCAAGTGACAAACTTCTGAAAAATTTGGAAACATGTTGTCATACTATCGATAAGCTGGTTATGTTTGACCGCACCTAAGAATTATCAACTGATAACGATATTCTTCGCAATAACATTCATATCAAGCAATATCAAATAGTTTCCTGCACAATTACGAAATTACTCCATTACTATAATCTTTACATATGCAGACTTATGAAATAGGTTAATAAAGAAACAAAAAAGAATATAAGATAAAAATATAAAACGAACCAAGTGATTACGTGATACGTGAACATCACTGCGTACATAGGCTACGGTCCGATTCTCTTCTTAAACGTTTTGCATAAGTGAAGTGATGTCCCGGATTTTTTTAATTTACACGCTCATGGTGACCGTAATTTGGAGAAATGATTTGTACTATATGGGAAACGTAAATTATTAATTTCATAGTAATAAATACTTACTTATGAAGATATATTATCACACTCGATCTACACTTGGTCGCATAACATACATTTTCGTGGCAATTACGAATATGTTTCACTTGCGACTGTTACACAGACTTCTATATGTTACACTAGAATGGTAACTCCCACTTTTTTCTTATGTAAAAGTGTTGCCTGCGCGAAGTGGATGCGCAGAATAGGAACCTCAAAGTAGGAGAGAAACACCAACAGAGTGACCCAGCCTCTGTGATTAATTCAAAAGTACATAGAACGTCATTCTGCGTATGTGTGGATCTTATTTTGCATATGTCATACGTACTTTTTGACAACAATTAAAGGGACGGAATTAGCAAGTAGTATATAAAAGTCTGTAAACTGTCAAGAATAATGTTATAGGGAAATAGTGTCAACATACACTATATAAATAGTGTAAACATTTACTTATAATAAATAAATATATCTTTATATTTAGTAAATATTTAGTTGACTATACAAACAAATGATTTATTAAAATTTAGTACATTTTTCATCGTAT